TTTAACGCACCAAGTTTCAGATACTGATTTTTCATAGTCTGCCCTGAAAAATTTATATTTTTTGACCTGAATAACGCTTGAATATTTATATAACTTGTTGGCACAAGGTATACTGAACCGAAAAAAGAAAACCGCATCAGATAGTCACCCGTTTCCCTTGATCGGCCAAAAATTGGTATTTCCAATGAAATTCTTCGATTCTTCCCTTTTCCCGTCGCCGTTTCGAGCACTTCCGATTGCAATTTCGAAATATCCTTTTGCGTGCAGATGCTTCTACTTATCCAGAAGTGTAACTAAACCGTAAAAAAGTGAAAATCGAAAAAAACCCGTGTTGGAGTGTTTCCGAACTCACTGATTCATTTTACATTATTGGAAACATGATTATGTGGATGGATAAGGTGGGGAGGCGGCAGACGATAGGATGGGTTAGAGTAGGTATTGGTTAGAGAGTGCTCGAACTGCTCTGAGTTCCCGTCGCGCCACGCAGCCATCTTGCCTGCTCATTCCGAGGGGGTCTTTGCCTGCAAAAAGTAAACATCGTAATGTGTGGCATGCTCTAATAAATTCCTAGTTGGACTAGAGTTCATAAAATAAGTAATAAATTTCCTAATGGAATGTTTCAACATTTTCTATGGTTTTGTGAAAAATGCTCGTGAACTTGCAGGTGAATTGATTGACCTGTTGTCTCTTCAAGTGACTCATTGCTAACAGTCTGCCTCAACAAATCACCATCGCATGTACTTGTCAGTTTCCCAAAGCAATAATTTTCAACAGTAAGATTGTCTTTCATTTTCTTTTTACGACTATCTCGTTTCAACTTTTTCTATTACAGTACCTTCAGACTTATCTGGTGTTACAGTTTCACATATAGCTGATTCTGAATCTATTGGTTACAATATCAAGTTACTTACCGAACGATATCAGTTTTTTACGCTGTCAGTCTTATTTTGTTCATCTGTTTTTGGAGGATGTGAGTCTAAAGAGTTAATCTGTGGAGACACAGTGGATCATTTGCATTCCCTGGAACTCTTGTTTAAGCTTCAATTTTATATTGACAGTGAGAGACTATGTTTAAAGATTAATTACACAGGTCTGAAGAATGTACATTAAGGATCAGAAAAATTCTAAAAAGCTCCCAGAATCTCACTTAACTTCCAATTTCCGTGAGTGCTGTTTACTTCAAAATGATGTTCCTGAAGTACACGCAGTACATTGAGTCATGGAAGTTTGAAGGGACGCTGTAAAATTTCTGCTTTATGATTAACTCATTCACCGAGCATGGATATTGAGTAGCTAGTTTCGTATCTAAGCAAGGGGCCAATTTTCTTCTGTTGCTGTCATTCTAGAGTAAGTAGGTACTTAATATAATTTCCACAAACTCTGTAAGTCAGGATATTTGCCTTTTGATATAAGGCGGATGCATCGTATGTTGAGACAAATGTCAATCTCTGATTATCTCCAAATCAGCACCACTCAACAGGTTAATACATGCAGTCGCTTGCAGTCAGATGGCACCACTGATGAGTGGTGACCTAAACAATACTTGACTTTTGTCTCAACATATGATGCATCCGCTCTAGTAAGAGTAATGAATGATCTTTATTTTCATGTACATGTACAATAACAAACCAAACTTTACAAAGAAAGACACTGCCAAAAGCAAAAAAATCTTGTGGGAAATAAACAATTTTCATGAATGCATGCCTCCTACTTTTTATTCTTAATTTTTATTTCCCTCTTGTTTACAGGAAGCTGTCTACTTTTCTCAGCGGATGTTAGAATCTTGGCGTGTATCCTGTTTCCTACTAGCTTTTCCAACATCATCTAACTGTGGATAGTGAATATCCTTTCCTGGAGCTTGTGCCGGTAATTCGATACCTAAAATCTGCAAAATAGTTTATTCATCAACAACACAAGCTTCACCAGCCAAAAGAACTAATTCATAGGTCCTCAAAGGAGAGCTAAGAGAGCACAATACTGGAGTAAAATAATTAATAAAAAAGTGCTTTCCCCTAGGGTCTCAATTTCTCATCTCTTTTTATCAATTTCAACTATATTTTTATAATATTATCAGCAGGTTTCCCATTAGCAACTTCTTTCCATCATACCAGCTTTTTGACATACATATCAAAGGCTTATAATACAGGAACAACGTAGCCTAATGGTGTTGAGCTAATAACTCATTCTTTGAGAGTCTTAAAAAATATTAAAAAATATGGTTTATCTGTAAAACTTATAACACTTTTCACTTAAAACTTAGTTCTATTTTGACGTTTAATTATTCTTCTTTTTTTTGCAGTTAAGCTGAGAATTCGATACTTACTGGGGAACATTAAAAACTTACAACCTCTACACGGAGCCTGCAGTGAAGAAATATTTAAATGGTACCTATTATGAAAAAATATTTGAAGAATGGAAATTCAAAACCTGGTTTACGCCATCAGGTTTTGTGAAGATTGTGTTATTGTTTCCCTCATTTAACTGGAATTTAGTGACTTTCAACCAAGCTAAGAAATTAACTATTTTAGACTCCAATTTTGAGTGTTTAATGAGCTGAGACAGTGATTTGAAGCAAACCCGAGGGCTAAAAATGTTTCCCCTGGAATTTGACATCTGAAAAGCCACTAGTATCCAAATCCACTCATGCGTGAGCAATGTTGTTTACTCCAAGTTGCAAGGGTGTACATAATCTGATTTGAGATGATCTGCATGCATTAGAACTGCTCATGGGCACAATGTGTGGTTACTGTTACAAACTCTGAAACAAAAAGTGCCCACAAGATTGGTGCTCCACCATACCAATGTCTGGAGTAAAAAATTGATAAATTAAAAAGACAACTGAAACATCAGAATGTCTTCTTAGTATTTACTCTGCCTAAGTTTTTTAAAATTCTTAACCATTGAAAAGATTTCATGGTTGCTCTTGATTCTGGAATCAAGTATCTTTTATTTTGTTTCAATCTTCCCGGTGTCCAAAGGACATAGCTCTCTATACAGCTGACTTTACTAAGTCGAAGTCTTTCTAAAAAGGTGAGCCTCATAGCTCTTTACCGCTGATAGATTACCAAAATCCAGTCTGGAAAGTTTGAATTAGCATCAATGCATTCATGACCCACTAATATCTCTACTGACTCTCAAGAATATGGACGAAGAAAAACGAGAAACAAGTGAATAAAAATTTCAGACTAAGGATGAACCAGTTTCCCCATTTAGAAGACATGACCTCACCAAGTGATGACAGCTTGTAAATTAAGTGTGTCATTCAACTCAGTTTTGATTGAATAATTGTTAGTCCAACCATATACTGCCATCAATAACACTTAGATTGATCTCGCTGATAGAAGTAAAGATGCAATAACTTTTTTCCAGGACCTTCATACAAGTTCCTGTATCTTGTCAGTGGCTAAAGTAAAAAGTTGCATTATTCCAACTGCAGCATTGCAAGTCACTGCTCATGTTTCACCTTTTTAAAAGGAAACCCAAGATTATTTTTTCTTTAAATTTTTGGTGAAATTTTATCACTCATTCTAAAATATTCACAGACAATTTAATAGAAATATTTTGTACGGTTTTCTTTCGGAGGAATGAAACATAAAGAATTTGAAATTATGCAATAGAGAAGCACATTTTTTCACTTTACCCATCAATATGTTGCAATTGGAAATATCGATCATTACCCACTCCGAGATAATGCTTGAGAATTTTAAGTATTCATATTTTCCAAATTTTTCTTGCCTCTCGAATTTTTTCATCACATCAAAACTATTCAAAAACTTATTCTGCCTCTCTGTTTTTTCTGGATACTACTTTAGGGTTGCCATAATCATGGAAAATCAGCGAATCACTCTACACCTACAATTACATAGGTGAAAGTTTGGACAAAATTGATGAATGCAATATCTGTTCGCCTTTTTTTTATTTTACTCCTGAATTTTAATTTCATTTTGTAACAATTATTTTCTCTCAGTTTGTAGGAGGAACTATTCCCTAAAGGATCAAGAGTCTACATGTTTGTAATGGAATGTATGCCATCTCCTCTCAACTCATTTTAACTCCTCAAACGTTTTCTGGAATTTCTCCTGCCTAGCCCCAGTAAGATTTAAATCTAATTCTCTAGTTGTAATATTTTTCCTTAAAAAATAATTTGATTGGAGTAGTAATTGAACTCTCTTGCCACTCACAGAAAAATCGAAAATTAACTTTTTCTCTCATTTTAAGTTAAAATCATTGTATGTTTCATTGCATATTAAATATTCTTGACCCAATCTTTTAACAAATTAAAACAGAATAATATTTCTGCAGCCATGGCGAGTCCAAAAATTTTGATTTATCTCCTAAGAAGAGACCTTAGAGTCCATGACAATCCTATATTCCATAAACTTACCTCCATGTCATCACAGGCTAATGCGCCATTCACTCACTTATTGCCGCTGTATGTCTTCCCAGCTCATCAAATTGAAGTTTCTGGTTTCTTATCGTCATCTGATGAGAAATCTCCATATCCTGAAGCTCGGTCAAAAGTAGGTAAATTCTGGAGGTGTGGTCAGTTGCGTGCCAAGTTCCTCGCAGAAAGTGTTTGGGATCTGAAACAGAATCTTGAAACCATAGGCAGTGGCTTAGAGATTCGTGTTGGTATGCTACATGATGTTGTCAAACAGCTTGTGGAAGGTTTCAAGAGCAAAGGTGTCCAAGTGAAAGGCCTTTGGATGACCTCTGAAGAGGGCTATGAGGAGAAGGCTGAAGAGCGTCAGGTACGAAAGATCATTGTAAATGCAGGTGGTGACTTCCAGCTGTGGAAGGATGAGAAGTACTTCATTGATGACGATGACATTCCTTTTGATGATCCCCAAAAGTACCCTGATGTTTTTACAAAGTACCGAAATACAGTTGAACCTCTGAGGGAAGCCCCTCGAAAGGTCTTGCCTACGCCAAAAAAACTGCCCCCTCTTCCCCAAAACATACCACCACAAGCTCATCCATTCAAAATCCCAGGCAACCTTAAAGATCTTATTGCTGCTCTTCAGAAGCCGTTAGACGCAGGTCTTGGCCTCAAAAATCCACCACAGATGCCCTCAGCGGGTGCCAGCTCAGCAGTGCCTTTTGCTGGAGGGGCAACTTCTGGCCAAAAACGTCTCAAGCACCTTATTGAATCAGGAGCAATGACGCGATACAAAGATACCCGTAACGGTATGGTTGGGACGGATTACTCATCCAAGCTTTCTCTGTGGCTAGCTCTCGGAAGTTTAACAGCACGAGAGGTTCACTCTGCTCTGATTGATTTTGAAGAAGGTAAAACAGATGTGGGAAAGGGAGCTGAGGGCTATGGAAAGGGGGAGAATAAGGGTACAACTCACATGCGTTTTGAGCTTTTATGGAGGGACTACATGCGTCTATGCACGCGAAAGTACGGAAGTCGGCTTTTCTTGGTTGGCGGTTTTCGCAATGCACGGAATATCCAATGGAAGCATGACAACAGTATCATGCAACGTTGGCTAGAAGGCACCACAGGGATAGGGCTTGTAGATGCTGCGCAGCGAGAGTTATTCCTCACTGGTTTTACCTCAAACAGGGCCCGGCAGAATGTTGCCAGCTTTTTAACTAAACATCTGGAGCAAGACTGGCGTCTTGGCGCGGAATGGTACGAGTGTAATTTGGTCGATTATGATGTGTCCAGCAATTGGGGGAACTGGCAGTACACAGCAGGAGTTGGAAACGATCCCAGAGAAGATAGGAAGTTCAATCCAGTCAAGCAGGCCTCGGATTATGATCCCAAGGCAGAATTTGTAAAAGCCTGGATCCCGGAGGTCAGGGAGTTACAACCTGAAGAGGCATGGCAGTGCTGGAAAGCTAGCTATGCTGCCAAACAGAAACCTGGATTGCGCGGGAACATCATGGCAGAAAGACCTTTAGCAAAAATAAGTTTTACACCACGCTCAGGAGGCAATGATGGTCATCGTGGTGGAGGACGAAGTCGTGGCCGGGCACAATGGTTTTAAATCAAAATTTGGAGCAGATAAAATCCTCTATATGGAAGCAACGGTGTTCATCACACAAGAAACACTCTAGTCATGAATGTAAGTTAGTTGGCCAATTATTAATCTGTGTGGCATGAGACTTTATTCTTGCATAATCTCCTCTCTAATTAACTATGCCTTTATGACTGCCTATTTCACTCTGAATTCCGCACAAACTACTCCAACCTTTTTAAGATTTTTGTAAAAGAAAATCAGAAAAAGGCATGTCTGTTAAAAGCCTGGGTTTGGAAACAAGTTCCTTAATTTTATTGTCATTTACTTCTTAATTTTTAATATTATTTACAAATTAAGTCTGTGTTTTGTGATCTGCATGCGGAAACGACCAAAAAAAGGAAACATTTCTCAAGTACATTCTCCTATTTTAGTTGTTCTTTAATGATAGTGAATTCTTACGACCAAATCATCCTATAATGGCCCACTAGATTGCTACCTTTCAGTCAAAATCTCATACCTATTGCTTAAAATTGATGTTGGTCTAAATATGTATTTCAAATGGTGATTAAGGTGAAGAATATATTTAATAATTGAACGCATAATCTGTCAGTATTGAGTTTCTTTGTCACAAGATTTTTTACAAGTAAGTAGTGCTAAATATAATCTGAGCGCCTACTGTCACCTGCAACCTCGTTGTAACATCTTAGTTATAACTTGTGCTGTTAAATTTTACACATGAAAACGGATTGTTCTCTCACATTTTTTTTTATGAAAATTCACCCACTAAGTATGTAACCGCCCACACCAAATTGGATCCAGGTTCCAAAAAACTGAATATTTTTATTTTTTTACCGCTGTATTAAGGGGTGTTGTACAAATATTTTAGTGGATAACTCATCTTAAATTACTAAACAGAACTGAGCTAAAATGTCTATAAGTTTGTGATTCAAGGAACATAGTTTCAAGGAAAAGTAATTCGAAGTTTAAATTAAGTCCAAGTTCAGTGTATGTATGGGGCTTAAAATTTTCGGATTAAAATGGATCTTTTCACATTTTATTTAAGCAAATACATAAACGGTACTGCTCCTTATCCTCAAAGATACGAAAAAATATTTTGCATTTGTTACTCAAAGTCCAATTTTTCCATTTCTTAGAATGTTTAACCTCTGCCCCTGAAGCCCTTTTTCTACGAATTTTCACATTCTATTAAAACATCTATGAAGTAGCCTATTTTGTTTTCTTGTCACTCAAACTTTACCTTGGGCTGGAAAAAATGTCAATAGTTGTATGGTTCATCAGTCGACCAATAAAATATATCTTGTGCCTGTTATTCAATTTGTTTTTAATTCACTCATGAAATCGTATGCCAATTATTTTTTGCACACTGAAATCACAGTTTTATTGAAACAACTAAAAGTATAGAATTGTTGCCTCTCGGGCAATGGAAGTCTTCGGTGAAGAATACAAATGTAGTCACCCGTACAAGCATAACCAAAATCATGTGTTCTCTTCTATCTTAATCGAAGGGCTTTGAAAACGAGGCGCATGAGTGCAGTTTTAAATGCATATCTTGTGTAAAATTCGCTCTCAAATTCCAATTTTTAAGCATCAAAAAGTCAGTTTGAACTTCCTTTCCGACATAAGGCTCCATGTAATTTCGCAAATTCAAACACTTATCTCTCTAAATAGCAAAAACTTTACTTATGCGCCTTGTTCTCCTCAATTAATGTGTTAAATTCTAACCATTGCCTGTATTCGCCGGGCGTCTGCCGCTTGTGTTGGGAGCGTTGCGAGCGAGCAGCGTCTCAACGTTTTCGGAAGTCAAAACTCCTGCAATCTACAGAGTATGCAAAACTGCTTGCCTTCATGCAGGAATAGTTGATGGGACGAAGGTGCACCTCGCGTCCTGCCCGTGTCTTTAGTTTTAGCTTCTGAGGCATATGTAGACTCCGAAGTGTCCCTAACTTGTTCTGACATTTCTGCACCGATTGCTTGTCTTCATTAGTTACCCACTTCTAATTTCATGGCAGTGATGAAGTGTGAGGATTTTTCCTGATTATATCTAACGTATCTCTGATTCAAAGATTATCTGCGTTGTGAACCTTGAAGTCGTGATCAACTCATGATCGTTCCATAGACCCCTCTGATACTACTCGATAGTCGATCGATGCATTGATAATTCATAGATTTTAGGAAAATTGTTTACAAAAGTCCTTGAAGTCACATCATTCTGTGTCAGTTATTCACTCATCGAGAAACATCGCGACTTATCCCCAGGACTCTGACCCAAGTGGATTTTGCAAATCGTGTCGTCTTTCGATTTTCGATTTTCGATACTCACCCAGGACGTACTGTAAGAGCTTTTTGAAAGCAGCTTTCGATTGAATAATGTATGTGAAAATCCGGAGTATCACAATATGATTAGTGGCGAAGCGTTAATGATCGGCTATCGATATTTCCCCATTTGACGCCATGGTAAAGAATCGATTATTAAGATGTTCATTGCAAACACCCTGTTTATCGATCCTTTTCCATAGGTTTAAATGACAGATCAATCGATACATCGCAAAGCACGCCACGCCACTGAATTTGATGTGTGACGTTCGAGGATTTTTGAAGAAAGTTGTCCTAAAATCCGAAATTTTCAATTTTCCGCTCCTTGTTCCTTTTTGATAGATTTACCATCGAATCTCTCTTTAATGTGCCGAAAATCCATCCTAAGTTCAATTAAACTCCCACTTGAAAAAGGAACCAACTTAATTCAATTGATAAATGTACCACGGCATGCGTGTGTCAGGTATTATGTGCGTGTCTTTCAAGGCTAGTAGTAAAAATTTATGTGTCCGCCCCTGGCGGGGTCTCGTCTTACCTCCACTAGATCGCACCAACTGTCCATTAAAAAATAGTAAAAAATTGTTTTTCGTTTCTTTCTCAAGACGCTGCCGAGTGTTGAAAATCTCAAAGATGTGCGACGCAGCATCCCAAGTAGCATGGATTGCAATTTCATTGCAATGGATTGTGAGTTGATTGCAATTTTTGCTTGTTGCCTATACGTTCATTTGAAGGCGCTTAAAAAGTTGCAATTTTATTGCAATAAGTTTGCAAGAAATGTAGATTATGCTTGTTGCCTAACCTTCTTTTTCAAGGTACTATAAAGACTGCAATTTCGGTGCAATCATGTTGTAACAAATTCACGCCATGTGCCTGGCATCCAATTCTCTAGTTGTTTTAAAGTTTTTTCGACTTAAATGTCTCACCTAACCCTTATAGCCCAACATATTTTGAAAATATTGTCACCTTTATCAAAATATTTTCATGGCAATATTGTAATTAAAATATTTTCAAAATATTTTTAAAACATTTTAAAGGAATATTTTGAAAATGATTACAAAAAATATTTTGAAAATGATTACAAAAAATATTTTTAAAATAATTCAAAAATATTGCCTGTAAACATGCATGTTAAAAATATTCCTTAAGAAAGTTTTGAAAATATTTTAAAAATATTTTTTGAAAATATTTTTAAGTTCTCAAGTTAGTATGTGGTGTAATTTACACCGGTGTAAATTTAGTGTGAGTACCTATTACGTGATATCGAAAAAAAAAATCAGACAAAAAAAATATGAAAAAAATAAATAACACGAAAAAAAATAAATAATAGGCAAAAGAAAGAAGCCTGAGAAAAACGGCGTTATTCAAATCTATGATGAATGTTGAGCCACGCACTGACGCAATGCATGCGATAACAGCCTTAAGAGGCGTGATTTCAACCCAACTCATCATCAGCTCCCTGTAGCTCAGTGGAAAAGTGCTCCGCTTAGAAATTCGCATGTCGGGTTCAAGCCCACTCTAGGGCGTCCGGTATTTTATGCTGCTAAACGTCGTAGGACATTAGGTAAGCATGGGTTCGAATTATTATAATTTCCCCGGAAAATTTAGGGGTTGAAATTTAAAGGTCGTCAATATTGAAATTTCTTTGCAAAAAAAAAAATTGCAACTTTTTTACAATGAGGGGGTCAGATGTTGTAAAATAATTGCAATTTTCTTGCAAGAAAGTTGAAATCATCTGGAAATTTTATTGCATTTAAATTGCAATTTTTTCGTTGCAAAATGCTACTTGGGATTCAAGAAATAACATTGAAACATGATATTTGCCCCGCGTATTTTATGCCCTTTCTTGATAGTTTATAAGCGCGCGCTACGCACTGTTGAAGTCACTACTAGAGCAAAGGGTAAATGGTGCATGTAAGCTCGCGGGAAAGCTATAGTGCAAGCTGTTTTTGGCACCTGCTTGGGCGGAAGTATGAATCTTTTCATTAGGGAATGTATAATTCAATTCAATTTCACGCGAATTTTCTACTCGTCAGACGTATTTCGGTTGCGCCGAAATTTCGAAACGCGCTCGACGAAAGGAGAGTCAACATGCAAATGAGTTAAATTTTATAAAAAAAAATAATAATAATAATAAACAAATAAATAAAAATAAAAAAAATAGCCTAGTGTTCTTGTATTAGCCCAATGCTCGTTTTTTAAATGAATGTTCTGTTGAGCTAGTTCAGAACGGCGGCTCCGCGAGGACAGTCTCGGGGCTTTTCTTCAGCTCCCTGACAGTGGCGAGATGTGAATGATCGATTATCGATTTTTCCCCCGATTAAAGCTATTGCGAAGAATCGATTATCAAGGTGTTCGTTACGAACACCATGTTTTTCGATGATTCTCCAGAGGTTTAACTGACGGATCAATCGATTTATCGCAAAGCACTGCTCCCCGAGAACTTCCTCCTCGTCGCTCAATGAGTGTATCGACGGTGTAAGTCAGCAATCACATAACTCGGTCTGCGACGTCGAAGACTTCTTGTCATACTTTATTTTTTGAATAGAAAACAACTCAACGGCAATTCTTTAACACTCCCGTGATTTTTCTTCTCTGTGCGAGGAAAATTCTGCAAAAACTTCAAGGAATGACGTAAAGTTCTTTTATAAAAAGATAATATAGACTCGGAGATTTTCAGACACCGCAAACGAGAGATGTGATTGCCGACTTACACCGTCGATATATGCCACGATTCGCAAGCGGTAGGTACTTATCGTTAATATTGGTTTAACTTTTCTTTTTCCTGTCGCATTGGTAGACTTTTCGAGATTTATGATCCTCACAGATTTTTCTTTAATCTAAATCTTAACTGATTCCCTATTTTCTTAATCTTATTATTAAGAATTTCTGAGTTCTGGTGTTTAAACTCTTTTATTGTCCGTCTATATATATATATATATCTGTATTGCAACTTCTAACTACTGAATTTATCAACTTTTATCATTGTAATAAAATAAAAATTGGAGTTTGTATATTTATCTCTTTATTTTTATTTATATTATTTATTAATATTTTAGGTTTGGTTCACGTCATTTGTCTCGACTCTCTGCCAATCGCTCTGTTTCATCAAATTATGCTCTTTCATCAAATTATGCTCTTTCATCAAATTATGCTCTCTAATTTTCAAACGCTTAATAGTAGTGGTATTCTCACTAAAGCGAACCCTGTTGTCCGCGACTCAAAGGAGAACTGGATTCGGGAAAATCAATAAGACTTTCTTGGGAGGNGGGGGGGGGGGGGAGAGAAGGAAGAAAGGAGGCATCGACTAATGCCCGCTCGCTGAGACCCAAAGATCGCAGTTGCCTCACACGCTCGGACCAGTGGCGTGGCGTGCTTTGCGATATATCGATTGATCTGTCATCTAAACCTATGGAAAAGGATCGATAGGCACGGTGCTTGCAACGAACGCCCCAATAATCGATTCTTTACCATAGCTTAAATGGGCAGATAGCGATATAATAATCCATCATCTATGCATCGCCACTCATTTGGACCCCGTCACAGGCTGAAAATCCGCAAATCCGACGTGACGCTAGTTTGAATTACAGGTTATCCGTCACAATGAGGAAAAACCACGTAACTCCCGGAAAAACGTTTGGCATTTGTGCGTTTTCGGCCGAGCGCACCGCGATTTTGGGCGTTGTCCTTTCCTCAGCTCGCTCGGCTCTGCCAAAGAATGCCAAGAAAGGCTCGTCCAGCAAGATTATGCCATGCTGCCAGCTCATGATTTGTGTTCCCAGAAAGAGAAAGAAAATAAATCTGAATTTTATCGATCGTCCAGGGCTGAGTCTCGAGACGGAAATTTTACCCACCCGGAGAGAGATTAATAGGCGTATTAATGCTAAAAGGAACTATGTGCATAGGTTTTGCGCGAGACATAGTTCCTTTCGGCATGAATACGTTCAATAGACGTGGTGTCCAGATTGAAATCCGCACTCAGTTACATAATTGAATTCG